TAATCTCTATCCATTAATCTCAATTGCTAAATAAAAATTTTTACCAAATATCTTATTTGTAATGATTTCAAAATATATAAATTTACCAAACACCTATCATTAATAGTTTGGATAAAACCGTTAACCATCTTCTCACAATTGTTATACCAAATTGACCTAAAAGCATTGCTTAAAAACTTCAAGCTTAAACTTTTGGGCTAGAATTATAGAACACAATCTTCCTTGCATTGGTTTGATTATCACACGAGGGTAATTATTATTAAAAAATACACTAGTGTAATGAATTGGTTTGATTCACATTAACAAAAGAAAAAAAAAAAAACATCTTCAATATACAGTGAAAAGAAAGAAGCTAAGGAATTTGAATTTGGAAGTTAAAAAGTAATTTGGATTCTACACAATGAGAAATTCTACTTTAATATGGTACATTAATCAAAAAATAAAATGGCACATAAAAAATTTTATATTGAAATCTCAGCTCAATTTCAATAAGACCTTAACGAAAGATATACAAGTTTTCAAAGTGTTATTTTCTTATTGATTAAAATACAGTTAATGTATCAACAATCTGTTGGTTTGAGTGGGAAGGAATTTGAATTTTCTTAAATAATATTTCAAGTTCAAGTCTTGTGAATGAAAAAATGAGTGCTAAGACAATTCTTCCTAATAAGGTATGATGCGACTTGATTTCAAATTAATCGAGATTCAATATAGTTACCAAATACTGGAAGGTTAATATTAAAAAAAAAAAAACAGTTAATGTGGTTCTAGAAGGTTGCTTTAAGACTAACTCTGATAACACAACAAAATTTCCAATGTAACCTTTAGTAAGGAATTAAAACAAGCAAGGTAGTTACTTGGCCTAGTAGATTCAAATGTTTTGCAGAGGGTATCATCTGGTGGCGCATTTTGCCTAACCAATGATGTCACATACCCAAGAATCTCGACAACAATCGCAATCTGAAATCGACTTCCCAAGATAATCATTGAGGGTAACTTCAGAAGAAGAAGAAAAAGACATAAAAAATTCGTTTTCAAGTGGCCAAAATTGGACACAAACGTCAGTTGATTGTGGATTGCCCGATCAAATCACTAAGAAAGATTTTCCTTAAACCTCTTTGAAGATAAGCTTCTCAATGCATTTCAAAGTTTAGTGTGGAAAATGGATGCCGGTAATCAGACTCTGGCGAAAAAGGGTCTGGCGTCTCCATCAAAGAGGAGAAACCGTGTTAATATCGGAAAATTTTTTCTTAGGAAAATAAGTAGTATATTGTTCAGTTTAATGCATTCGTTAACATTTAGTTATTTAATTATTAAAATTTACGATTAATTTTTTAATTTAAATTTAATAATATTAATTTTTTAATAAATTTATTATGAAATATATTAAATTAAAAAATATTGAATCGAAGGGTGGGAAAAAGATGCCAGTAACCAGACTTAAGCAAAGAGGGTCTGGAGTCTCCATAAAAGAAGAGAAACCATGTTAACATCGGAACATTTAAAAAAAAAAAATGATTAATACATTATCTGATTTAATATATTTGTTAATATTTATTTGTTTAGTTAGTAAAATGTATAATTAAATTTTTTTTTATTTAAATTTAAAAGTAATAAATTTTTAATAAATATATTATAAAAATTATTTAATTAAAAAATATACCAATCTTTTTTTTTTTCTTATTGTTGTTCTATATCGCCAATAATCACGCACTGATTTGTAGCAGTAGTGGTGCAGTCTGTCAGTCTGTGTATCAGATCTGACCTTGCTAACCCCATCAACAGTATTGCAGTCAATGACCCATATATTTTTTTTATAAAAACAATAATTAAAAAGTTAAGATGGTTAGATATTAATAATTAAAATTTTAATATTAGATACGATAAACAGTTCACTTGTTGCACCTGTAACTTGAGATCTAGTGGCAATAGTCACTTCGGTGCATTCTCTTTTTTTCGGGTTAGGTTCGAAACCCACCCCTTGCAAATATGTTCAAAAAAAAAAAGAAAAAAAAACAGTTCACCTGTTATAATAAGACGCGGCCATCAGGCCGCTTGAGGAGTTCCAACCCCTAGTAAGGTATTGGCATTTGAGAGAATATTAATTATATTAAAATCAAATATATTATTTGATTGTATAAAATCAATTTATCACAAATATGA